AAAAGGCATGTAAATGCATAAAAACTATATTTAATTGGGAGTCTATATAAGCTATAACTAAAAGAACTCTAATGCATAATTTAGAATATTAAGCACAAGTTTAGATGATAACACGCCTTTGGGAAGAAAGGTCTAGGCTGCAATCTTGTCCTCTATACCAGTAACAATGGAATCCTAAACAAAAAATGATAATAATAACAATGAGTTTGTAATGCATGTTAAGAAAATGAAAATTTAGTTATGAAGAAAGAAAAAACATTATCAAGGTACCATAATTCTACAAACTAGTGGATGAGACCAATAAAATTTTYAGAAAACATGAAATGAGTAAATAGTTTATTAAAATATATAAGAGAAAAGGGCAAAGTGTTCAAAAATCTTAAATTCCATTACTTCACATAATGCATATTAACAACTTCCACCATTGCAGTAAGCTAACTATGGAGAAAAGACAGAGAACAAGTGCAATGCCAATTGCCAAATGCAAGTTAATAAGATTTGATCARAAACCAAATCTAAAAATTGGCATCCAAGTAGAATTTAACCAACTTCCAAAAATAGAAGGGTGAAGAGGTGGTAAAAGTATTAGTAAATTTTTCCTAAACAAGGGTTTGCTTCATAAAAAAAAATATTGTCAATCTAATATTCCAACTTATGAAGCTTCAGAAATAAGTAGTGCTGCCTAGAACTACTAGTCCTGTATATAGTTTGAAAAAAAAAATCGCAAAACTAAAAATAGATGGAAACTAAGGGATTTGTAAAAAACCTAGCAACCACATGATAGCCTTTTTTTGGGAGATTAAGGAATGAGAAAGGGGCCATACAATATGGGAGTTGCAGGCGGAGCTTGTGCTGAACGAATAGACCGCTACTTTTGCTTTGAATAGAGATAGATCAATGGGCGTCTAAGTTTTGTGCCATTCTATTATTACCATTAAAAGCTGAATCAATTCCTCCCAACAACCTAGACAAAAATATGTAATCCCTTACCTTATGAATCCTTGAACTCCGACCACCTACCCAAATGAATACCGTGCGAGTAGAGATCGACGGAGAAGGAAAGATGAAAAGAGTGAAAGAGAGCAGAAACACACGAGTAGGAAGGAATGCGTGGGCTACCGAGATGAACACCGCGCGAGCAGAGATCAAGAGAAGGGAAGACGAAAAGAGTGAAGAGCARTAGTGCACGAGCGGGAAGGAATGCGTGGGCACTTTCTATTTTTCTTTGCTTTAGTCAAGGGATGAAAAAAATTACAAAAATACCCGCACAAATAAAATAGCCACGGTTTCATATTGCCRAGAAGAAAATATTGCCTTGGCTAATTTTAAAACTGTCTTAGTAAATTATGTTATAGCCACAAGCTATGATACCGTGGCTAAGCTATATATGAGAAGGCACCATATAAACACGGAAAAAACATACGGTTGCTATATATGGTTTTTAGCAACCATTTTTTTGTCTGTTGCTAAAGGTTACTTTTCTTGTAGTGTTTAGCTATTTTATCCCCATCCTATAATGGTTCTGTGCCTCAATAATTGGATTTTCTTCTTAGTTTTTGGTCTTGATTGATGATCACTCTAATAAGTTTGGCTTTTAGCACATGGTTATCATTCCATGCTTTTTTTCTTTTAAATCTTTTATATAGAGAGGATTGCTTTAAGCATCCCCTTTATCTTATGTTGTCATGCTAATGGATGATTAGTGCATAGAACATATAGGAGGGGCCATAATTTGGTTTAGGGTATGATTATAATTTGGTTTTGGTGTGTTAATGATTATAAATCTATAACATATTCTCATCTCCTTGCTTTAAACCTTTTTTAGTTGATTTCATATTAGGTACATATGACCAACTTTAAGGTATGATTTGAATTTATCTCCTTTGACTAACTTGTTTACTTTATAGCTCATTTTTCGGGTTGAACAAGTAGTTTGGGGCTGTAGTAGGCTGTTTAGATCGGATCTGCCGACCTACCTTCAAGTGGAGCCCATAGTGCTTGGGTGGCATGAGCCGATCTAGGATCCGAGGTGTCTTGAGACGTTCCTGGATCCACGCAACGATGTGTAATTGAGGGATTACTTTATCACTCATCATACTAAATACACAAMTATGTGCATTTTAGTAGCCATTGAAATTATACTAAAATGATTTTTATGCAATTTTTCAAACAAAGAAATAGAAGATAATTTTAATCTAAAAAAATTTTACACTACATTCACACATTTACATTCTTTATAAATTATTTTCGTTTATGTCAATAGGTAGTTATYCACCAAATTGAATAACTTTTCTTTGCAAAATATATAATATCTAAAAAACTTCTGACCATTCAACTGGAATCATAAACGTGATAGTCAATTAAGTGTTATTTATCAAAATTCATGRGTGGGTTTTGATCGGTCAAAACTCTTCCCATACCATATCTTTTCTGCATCATAGAATTTCCCTTAATCATCCCATGTAGATCCCACCTACGGAAGAGGGGTGCTTAACCCTTCCTTCTCCCCGTCCAATGCCTTGGATACATTGAGTCGCTATATAGAGCATAGTAGTTCTAAAGAAGTCAACCCAAAGGGCCGATCACTTCCTATTGGCGAGTCCATATCAGCCCATGCCAACTGAGCCGTTTTGTACTGACAAGTCACAACACCCCTACGCACTCGGACCCCGTTGGTACCCTAAAATACCAACAATGCTACGAGGCTGAGGGCTAACAATTTTCAGTGTAAAACCTCCGCCACCCCCCTGTTTTGCTGTTCCCTTGCTCTCACCTCCCGAACCGGCGGCGGACGGTTTTCCCTACTTTCTACCTCAGTCAGCTCTCCTTGTCCTTTCATCATCGTTTCCTTGTTTTTGTCTCAGTTAGTTCGTCGTAGGGATCTCTTATTGGAAATACAGCAAATGGAGGAGGTTTGCGAGGGGAAGGATTTCTCCTTCCCGAAGCAAGAAGAGAAAACTTTGAAGTTCTGGGACGAGATTAAAGCCTTCGAGAACCAGCTCAAGCGTACGGAGCATATGCCCGAGTATGTTTTCTACGACGGCCCTCCTTTCGCCACTGGGTTGCCCCATTATGGCCACATCCTCGCCGGGACGATCAAGGATATAGTCACGAGGTACCAGACAATGATTGGGCATCACGTCACGAGGAGATTCGGGTGGGATTGTCATGGGCTTCCGGTTGAGTACGAGATTGATACCAAGTTAGGTATCAAGAACAGGCAAGAAGTGCTGGATATGGGAATTGATAAGTACAACGAAGAGTGCCGGAGTATCGTAACGAGGTACGTCGAGGAGTGGGAGAAGATTGTGACGAGGACGGGGAGGTGGATTGATTTCAAGAACGATTATAAGACCATGGATCCTCAGTATATGGAAGGGGTTTGGTGGGTCTTCTCTCAGCTTTATGAGAAAGGTCTGGTCTATAGAGGGTTTAAGGTACACTGAAAATTCTGTTCTTTGCTTTTTTGATCAATGTAATGTAAATTTTGTGGAGCTAATTTAATAATATGTTGCAAGGGTGAATTTCAAATGTGTATTGATGGCATGTTCTAAAARATGCGAATGCATGTGATTTGGACCCTATTTTGTAGGTAATGCCATACAGTACTGGTTGCAAGACCCCGCTTTCCAACTTTGAAGCCAACTTGAACTATAAGGTATCAACTAACCGTGGGAACTTCTGTTTCTGTTTCTAATTATTTACTAATAATGGTTAATTTCTTATTGTCTGGTATTTTTTATGACTCCATTTGCCTATATCCTTTTTTATGGATTATTATTATGTAGGAAGTTCCAGATCCTGAAATAATGGTGGCCTTCCCAATTGTTGGTGATCCACATAATGCATCTTTTGTAGCATGGACAACAACCCCATGGACTCTACCTTCTAATCTTGCTCTTTGTGTCAATGCAAATTTTGTCTATGTGAAGGTCAGTTAACTTCACTGTGGTTATTAAATATAACTTTTTTATGATATCACAATCTAGTACTTGGTACCATTGTACCATAGCAATTCATTAGTTTTGTACTACATGATGCTGTTTAATATTTGTTCAATCTGAAATTAATTTTTTGTTGATTGGCAGTCTTGGGTTTGTGTTGTAAAGCTGCTAAAGGCATGTGTATTAGGCACCTTGGTGAAGCCTAGAGATACTAGACAATTTGTTCTTCCTTTTTTTTCCCGAAAATTAACAAATCCAAATTCAAGATGTGTGTAATATACAAATATCATCAGCGCTTGGTAGGTAGAAAGGAACCCTTTTTTGTGTAGTCTATACATGATCAGGATGATGAGATGTCGTTTAGTTAAACTTGTGAATTTTCTATTTATGTATATGCTTTTTAATTTTGYGCATATGTTGTTATTTGCTCTCATATACGAGTGTCTCATAAGAAGTTGAATGACAAATAGGTCCGTGACAAGTTGTCTGGATCAACCTATGTTGTTGCTGAATCTCGGTTATCTCAACTACCTGTCAAGAAGCCAAAACCAGATGCACAGTATGGTCCAATTCAAGATTCAAAATCTTCAAACTCCAAAAGCAAGAGTTCTTCCAATAACAAAGATAAGAATGGAATGGATACTGGATCTTATGAGTTGTTAGAGAAAGTCAGTGGTGCTTCATTGGTGGGAACAAAGTAAGAGCACATACATTCTTTGCCTATTGATTCCATAAGTTACTTCATTTGTTGTGCCCTATAAAACACAAATATTAACACTGGTGTGATTTTTCTGGCATGACACTTGAGGAAAACTCTAACTTAGAATCGTTTAATTCACATATGATAAATAGGGTGTCACTAGGTTGGGTTAAGTGGTAAACCACACTGACCTGACTGTAGGGGTGATCATTTTCAGGTCAGTCTGTAAATTCTGGGCTTGGGCCTAGGTTTTATGTTCAGGCCCAGTCCTGGCCCGGGTGCGCATCCRGCCCAACCCACACATATTTATTTTATACATATTTATGTGTTATTTTATGTTGTATGTTATATTTTATATATACATATTGTAAAATGACACCTATAATACATATTATACATGATATTTTATATTCCAAAATGTACAAAATAATTTTTATACACATTATAYATGAAAAAATGTATAAAATAAATTCTATACACATTATTTCATATGATTGGATTTTAATGATTAAGAACAAGACGATAATTTAAAAAGGTGTGCTTATGCTTCTTTTTGTTATTTCATAAAATATCATTCTATATTTTGCACATTTTACAATGTTTACACCATGTCTATACTTTTTACAATATTTCCATATGATATTTCTGACATTTCCGACATGTTTCTTATATTTGGATGATCGACATTTCCATTGACATTGACATTTTAAACCTTGATTTTGGCTGATACCTTAACAAAAGCAAAGCTGCAAAGGAAAATCTTGAATGGAAATCACTAGGGTCAGGAGTCAACATGTACTGTAGTTAAGTTATAGCTTTTTGGATAGTATGGAGTTTCTTAATGAAATTATAATGGTTACTTAAAAAACTGTCAGAAGGAAAATATTAGAAAGGATAGTTGCAATCATTRGAATAGGTCAAGCCTTTCTTTAACGSTCAGCTGCTCAAGTCACCAAGCGGTGGATCCCCTCCCATGTTCTTGTTTGTGGGCCATTTGAACTGGTTTATTTATTTATACTGGCATCCTTTCTTTCTCTCCCTTTTCACTTCTTAAAAGTTAGGGTTACATTGACGTCACAGAACTTTACTGCAGAAATGGCTTTTTCTTTCTTTTCTTTCTTTTTTGTATTTTTTGTCAACATCATTTGTTGTTATTGCTGCAGATATGTCCCATTATTTGACTACTTTAAGGAATTTTCAGAGGTTGCATTTAGAGTTATTGCAGACAATTATGTTACTGATGATAGTGGGACTGGCGTTGTTCACTGTGCACCTGCATTTGGTGAAGAGGATTACCGTGTCTGCATTGAGGCACACATAATCAATAAGGTTTCCATGATCATTACATTACTAGTTACTTAGCGATTGTTGTTTTTGTGATCATGTTGATTTTCGATCAAGTATTATGCTATTTTTTGATTGCTAATTAGCTAATATAGTTCTGCAAAAAACCATTTGTTCCATCAACCATTATTTTGCCAGATTGGATAATATTTTGGGAAACAGGAGGATTGTGCAAAGAGCTTTAAAATCTTTAATTTGTTACAGGTTGCAGTTAAGGTTCAAAGTATCGACACACCCCGATATGGTGGAAGGGGTGTATCAGTACTTTATAACTAATGCATCATATATATATATWTTTTTTTCAAAATTTGAGAAAGGAGTTGTTTTAATGTTATTTAACTAATAAAATTAGCGTTTCCTTAAAATGCCTTGAAAAAGCTGTATTGGCCATCTGCTGATACGATATGATAGATAAGCCCTATATGAGATGTAACATGTTGAAATTTTGAACCTTAGCTGCAGTTTCTGGCACTTTGTGACCCCATATTTTGTCATTCCTGAAATTCAATTCCCATGTTGATGGTATGCCTTATCTATATTTTTAATGTCCACTGCCAAAAAAAAGTGATTTTGAACCTTTTTTCAGGTTTTCATCTGTAGGGTTCTTTGACCTGTCAGTGTTCCATATTGATTTTTGCCTCCTCTATGATTTGACTTGTCTAGGGAGAGAACCTTRTTGTGGCAGTTGATGATGATGGCTGCTTTACTGAAAAAATTTCTGAATTCAGTGGGCGTTATGTCAAGGATGCAGATAAGGATATTATTAATGCACTAAAGGTAATGATACCAACTGCCACCTTTTATGTTTTGAATCTTGATATGGTGATTTAATAAAATTCTGTTGATCTTGATACTAGTAAAACTATCAATATGTTGACTTTGGTATTTTGATCTGTCTATATAGGATCAAAACTTCATATAGATGAGTGGAATACAAATTGTTCTTGGGTCAATAAATCTGAATCTATTTCACACTTTCCCCACTGCTCGAAACATTGAAAATACCAAGCATGTAAAGGGATATCAAAGATATTAATCCACACCAAACTTGAGGGTCCCATGTTTCTAATTGCCCCGACTAATGGATTCCCTCTCCCCAACCTGAGCTATAGAGAACAAATCTGACTTTGATTCCAATTAATAGTATCAAGCGCTTCTTATTCACTGCCAAAGATAAAAAGAAAGAATCCTGCATTTAGTTTTCTATCCTGAAAAGATTTACTCAGATGCCATTCTGCAGTTTCCCAAGCCCTCACATCTTCTAATCTGGATCAGAATTGACAAAACATGATGCACATATGGATGCAAAGGACGAAATGGAAGACAAGGACAAATAATAGGCCTGCAGAATRCATCACCGACCAGAAAAGAAGTGACTGTTTGACCAGTCAAACCTTGTTTGATCTGGCTGAAATATTGTGGCATTAAAGTACACTTAGAGTACTCSAACGCTGTAGAATTTCATCTCAATCGTACATGTGAAAGTGCTCCAATTAAAGACTTTAAGTTGGCTGAATTTTGTATTCTGCAAGTCATGGTYAAAAGCCTAATCAACAAGTTGACTAGCTTTTATAGTAATTGTCATTACCATTTATCGTAAAAGATGACTTATTCAGTAATTTTTGGTTTCTTGTGTTTAGTGGAATTGAGGAGTTATAGTATTTGCTAATTTGGAAAGGAAGTTTCTACGTTTTGTTTGAAGTTTGAATACGAGTAGGAGTTAGTCTTAGAGTCCAAATAGAGTCCCAAAGTGCTACTTTGGGTCTTAAAAGGGTGTCAATAGATCTTGTAGAGAACAATCTATTTCATTGAATTCAATAAACAATTCTTTTTATTTCTGTTTCTTCCATAGCCAGCAGCTATAGTAGAGTTAATTCTTGCTTCCTCTTCTATTTTCTCTTCTTTATTTGCTTGTTAATACTTGTGGCTGAAACCACTTGTTGTGTGTTGAGAATTTTCTGTTTCAAAATGGYCAATCAGGCACCTCTCCAACAGCCTAAATTAATCATGAAAATTTCTGGTTGAACGCGCAAGCACCTCCCTCATCTTGTGCCTCTTCCTTACTTCATGAGGATTATAAAACTATAGTAATATCTTTAATTAACATTTAATTACCTCAAGCTTGCAACTTGTAAATGATGTAGCTCAATTCTTTTGGTAAAAGCAATACAATAGGGATATTGTATTTTGGTAACTGCTCTTCCGATCCTCTTATTCTTCAGATCAATTCTTTTGGGAATCTCACTTCTTTTGCCATTTCTTGGTGCTTTGTAAAGAGAGGAATGAAAGGATCTTTGATGGAAAAATGAGTGARCTGCAGTTTTTGATTGGTGTTCTTGAAAGAACAATTGCCTCATCTCATGGTCTATTGAGGGAATTCACTTTTCCAGTTACTTGCTGTACTCTTTGGTATTCAAAAGGCAGAAGATCTGAGTTTAGAGAGGTTGGTTATAAAAGTGAACTGTCAAGTGGTGGTTGGTTGGCTTAAGGATGAGAAGAATGTATCCTGGATTTACAGGGATACTATTAAGAAGATAAAATGGCCAACAAGGGTGATGACATTAATAATTCAGTGGGTGCCAAGGTTGGGAAATGGGTTGGCTGATTCTTTAGCCAAACAAGGGGTTAATAGGGAACTTTTGTTCTGGGCTTAATTGTAATCTCTTTCTAATGGGTTAGTCCTACCCCAATTTCTGAATATTCTTTGATATCCTTGTACATACCTGTTTATATTTATGAGTGAAGTCTTATTATCTATCAAAAAGAAAGACTTTTCTTATTTTTGTAATTGGTGGGGATCTATCTTATTCTATTAGTTGGGGCATTGCTGCATTGGTAGTATAGCTGTTTTTGGGCTATTTTATTTTATCCCTCCTTTGATTTGGGTTGTAGACTTTCCTTTTCTGATTTAGAAAGTTATTTAGTTTTAAAAAATTATATTATTTCAGTGTAAGCATCCTGTAAAGTTTTTAGTGTAATTTTTCATTCTTTGGATCTTTTACATATTTAACAAAAACTAATTTTTTTGACAGGCAAAAGGCAGGCTAGTTAAGTCTGGCAACTTTACCCATTCTTATCCTTTTTGTTGGAGATCTGATACACCACTTCTTTATAGAGCAGTTCCAAGCTGGTAGGTGCAGTTTTTGGTTCCCCCTCCCCTTGCACTGTATATTTTTTGGTTCTGACTTATTGATATTGTCATATTTTAAAGTTGTAATTTTTTCTCTTTTCTCCATTTTCATAGTTAGACTCCTCTTCTGTTTCTCTTTGATTTATTATTGAAGATTTGTAGATTGACCTTTTTGACCCTTGTATGTAGACATGGTCATGAGTGAGCATTTAGACCTTCTATCATGTTCATTCATTCAAGCATGACTGAATTCTTGCTCTGCTGTAGCTACCTYGTGGCCTATCAATTTGAAAGCTTTTCTATTAGAGTGATGTGCATATAAGTTTATCAAACCTGTTTTAGCATATGGTGCCTTTGGCACTGTGGATATAACCTGGTGCATCATGTTGGACCCAGTGTACTGTCAGTTATGTTTGAACATTGCTCTGCACAATGCAACATATCCACTGTTGTGAATCATATCGCAAATTGTAAGATTATTTCTATTTTTTATAAACTTGTCAAAAAATAAAATATAGATATCCTAAAAGGCTAAATATATGTAGGAAAGTGACTTTACTCTGTTTTTAATCTATATCTACCATATATGTACTTGAAACAATAGAATTTAACGCTTATACAATAGAAGCCTAAAATGATATAATCTAGTTGGACTTGAAAATCAAACAAATCTACATACATAGGCTCTTTAACCTACATATATGGAAAATAAACTCAATTTCTTGTCTTAAATAACATAAATAAATAGTTTTCTAGTAAGGGCTTTAAAAAAGTCTCCCTTGACAAAACTGAATATAAACAAAAAAAAAAAAGTAGAGAACTAATTCTTAATTGAGTTTATTGAATCGTAAAAACTGTATAAGTTGTAATGAATCAAATCGTAGGATTCAAACAAAAATTGTAAGATTTTTGCAGAAAAGGATTCAGACATTAGATTTGAATCGAAACCCTTGGGATTCATGATTCGAATTGTAAATCGTAAGAATTTGACATCATTGCTCTCAAGAAACTCTTTCATATGCTTTCTCTCTAGATCAATRAACACCATATGAAGATCTCTGTTTTTCTATTTTGCTTCTAACTTCCTAAGATGGTCAAAAAAGAGGAGAAGATTACTGTGGAGATGCACWAGGGCAGCAGTGTTGGACAATTTGGGAGGAAAGGAATCAAAGGCTTTTCCATGAAAAATCAAGAAGTATAGAAGCTGTCATTGAAGCTATCTCCATCAAGGTAGTGCATTGGGTGAAGCCCTTGGATATTTCCAGAGAAGTTCCTGGCATTGAGGTGATGGGGAAGTGGAGGGACGTGGCTGATTCTGCTCCTGCTAAGGAGGTGATCAGGTCATTGTGGTCCCCACCCTTTAGTGGTTTCATTAACTTAATTTTAATGGCAACAGTGAAGGTAATCCTGGTCCTTCTGGCATTGGAGGATTTTTCAGGAACGAAGAAGGAAATATCATTGCACTATTCTCAGGCCCAATTGGTGAAGGGTATTCCTTAAGAGCTGAAATTATGGCTGTTATGGAAGGGATCCAAAAGGCTAAAGAGCCGAATATCAGGAAGTTGGTGATAGAAGGTGATTCAAAGCTTGCATTTATCTGGCTTCCAAAAAAGGAAGAAGAGGGATGTTTGCAATGGTAATTTTGTGCTTTTTTGGGTGGGCAACCAACCATTAAAAGACCTCTATCCCTCTCTTTTTTCTATTTCCCTCTATAAAAAAGGAGCCTGTTTCGAGGTTTCTTTCTACCCCCATTCTCCCATTGTCTCTTAATTGGGATTTTGGGTTCCGTAGAGGGTTGAGGGATGAGGAATCGGTTTCTGCCTCTGAGCTCTTACTTTTACTTGATTTTGTTTGTTTGGACCCTCCTAAACCAAATAAAAGGATTTGGTCTTTGACCTCGAGTGGCTCCTTCTCTTGTTCTTCCTTCTTTAAGTCCCTTTGCTCTACTCCTTCCCCTTTGTTGTTCCCAATTAAAGAAGTCTAGTCAAGGCCAATTCCACCTGAAATTGCTGGTTTTTGTTGGGAAGTGTATTATGGTAAAATTAATACTATGGACAATGTACACAAAAAGAGACCTTATTCATGCTTGTCCCCCAATTGGTGCATTTTATGTAAAGTGCAGAATGGGGACTGTTATCACCTATTGATTTCTTGCTCTATATTTGGAATTGGGTTTTTATGCTGTTTGGGTATAGGTGGAACTTGCCTCCTGAAGTAAATCTACTTTTTGATCTATCTTTTTTTTGGATGGCCAACAAAGAGAGGGAAAGTAATATGGAAATGTATTAGGGCAGCCCTCTTATGGACCATTTGGGAGGAAAGAAATGACCGAGTTTTCCAGGAGGAGAGAAGCATTGCTGAAATAAAGGATTGTATACTGACAAGGGCAATCCTTTGGCTAAAAACTACTAATCTCTTTGTGGATTACTCTAATGATGACCTTCGAAGGAGTTGGGCACAGTGGCCTCCACATCATCCAAGTAAAATAGAACACAAGCAAATTGGTTACCTCCTTCGGAAGGAGTTGTGAAGTTGAACTGTGATGGGAGCAGTCAAGGCAATCCATGACCTTCGGGTGTAGGAGGGATCTTGAGGAATAAGGAWGGCAACATTCTATCCTTATTGTCAGGTCCAGTGGGTTATGGAGACTCTACAAGGGCTGAGATATTAGCTGTGGTACAAGGACTACAGATTTTCCAACCAACTTGGAGTGACTAATTTGATAGTTAAAGGAGACTCTAAGGTGATAGTGGAATGGATGCCGGACCCAGAAGCTGTTGTTTGGGGATATAGGGACATCATCAAAAAAGTCAAATGGCTTACGGGCACCATGTCAGTTAGCTTTCAATGGGTTAGTAGATCGGCAAATGCTTTGGCAGATTCTTTAGCTAAACAAGGGGCTTCAAGGGATTCTCTGTTTTTGGCTAATTTGTAACTGCAATCTGAAAAGAGTTGGGTTTGGAACCATCTTTAAGGGGAGGTAACACCTCATGCCTCCTCTTAGGGTGCTTCATGCTTGTACTATTTCTATCTCTATTTAATAAAATACCATTCATTCATCAAAAAAAAAGATTGGGGAGGTAACACCTCGTGCCTCCTCTTAGGGTGCTTCATGCTTGTACTATTTCTATCTCTATTTAATAAAATACCATTCATTCATCAAAAAGAAAAAGGAAGAAGAGGGACGGTGGTGCTACATTCACAAAAAGAGAAAAGCTGTTAATTTGCTGTAAGGGATAGAGGTGTCTTGTAATTGGGTTAAAAGAGGCACAAATGCTATTTCTAACACACTTGCTAAACAAGGGGTGGGAAGGAATGAGTTATTTTGGGCTTTTTTGTGATCTTCCTTTTGGGGAGGGCTAAGAGTGTTTATCCCTCCCCTTTCTTTGTACTAAATTTCTTCTTTTAATAAAATTGGTTCTGTTATTGATCAACAAAAAAAAATAAATCTGAACTTTTCTACCAATTGTTGCAAAGGAAAGATAACTTCCATGGTTGATCTTCTTGACATAATCTCAAATCGGTTCTCTGAAATACACTTGTTTAATGTCATAATTGCTTAATTATTCGCTCTCAAAGTTTCATGTTATGGCCCATGACATTAATCTTTTAATAGTTATTACAACTTTTTCTATCACCTTTGTTCTTAAATATAGGTACCATACTATTTCTCATTCATTAGGCATTTTCTTTTCTTTCATTATTATATTAAATAGCTCTGTGAGCAATAATATTTGACTATATATTTTAYGAAAACATGTTTCAACAAGATCCAAACCTAGAACTAGAAGATAAGAAAAATAACTGTTTAACCATAGACAATATTATGGGTCATTGTGGTTAATTGGTGGTTGAAACACTTGATCCATGGCCCAGTTGCCTTTCCAGTTCGGTAAATGGGTAGGAATTGTAAATTTAGTGTCTGATACCATATCCAGTTGCTTCCTTGCCATTATCTAAATAAAATAGCCAAGATCTCCAAAAATAGTAATTCATAATTTTACTGTAAATGATAACTATGGAAATTACTAACTAGCAATTACAAGAGTTGCTATGATTAATAAATCTAAAAGATACTATAAGTAGTAGATTTCCATAAGATTGAAACTTAATTGTCTAATGATTAAATTATGGACCAAACTTGACACTAAGATGATTATTATGGGTGACAGCTAGTGGAGTCCACTAGCAAACCTGTTGATTTTACTTTGACCACGTTTTGCAGAACTCAAAAATCCGTTATCTTAAAACCTTTAGTTGGGGTACTAACACATGCTAGATTGAGCTGAAAATCTACAGTATTTGAGTACTGTTAAGTGTATTTTACCTGCAGATTACAGCCAAATGACCAAGGTTTGACTGGTCAAACAGTCGCTTCCTTTCTTTCCTGACAATGCGTTTTGCACTCTTGCTATCTGACTTCTTTTCTTCAAGTTCTTTCTTTGAGTCTTGCTGTGTATCTTCTTCTAACTACTTGCTTAGTCATTCCTCTTTCCCTTGGTTGGGGTCAAAGATTTCCAAGGAAATTAATTGTGTGTTTCTTTCTTTGCTTCTGTGTTTGCGACAGTCTCTTTTCTCTCTTACAGGTATTACTAATAGCCTAACAAGTTCAATTTAATATGTTTGATGCCCTCATAGTTCTATTTTTTTGCATCTAAACTTATTTACATATATTTATGGTATTAATATAATATATTATAGTATGTACATTGTAGATGCACATGTGCATTCTCTGATGAAGCTCCAAAAATGTGGAGCATCTCAAATTTGATGCTCCGATGAGTTGTTTTGCACTCAACACTCCTGCACAACCCTGAACCTACTGACTTGGTGATTAGGAAACTTGACAAATAACGAAATAATGGCTTAATAACAAAGGTAGCCCTAAACCCCAAAAAACATTTGTACTAACACAGTGGAAACATTCACCTCATTCCCCATATAACATGAACATGTCAAATGAAGGGTTGGAAGTTGGAACCCCCATCTTGTGGCTAGGAGCATCCTYTTGCTCCTGTTAGGGCAGGGTTATCATTCTTAGCTTCCCCGCCTCCTGCCTCCTGCCCTCTGCYACCCYCYCTCCAATGCTGTTGTGTTCCATATGGTTTACTTTTGCCTGCCTTGTGTTGGTTGACGATGAGATGCTTGTTCTCTCSTTTTTGTCTTTTTCAGTAATTAAATTTCATTGATGTTGTTATGATCAAAATAAAAAAAGGTTGTGTTGGCAATTAGGGAATGGAGTAGATATGCCTTTTCCATATAGCCCTAAAGGAATTGATCATTGCTGCATACTTCTTTACCTTTCTTTATCATTTATACAGAAAATTATGATCCTAATGGAGGTGGCTTATTTGATAATGGGTATCCTTGTTAATAAAGTGGTGCTATTGGATGCGGTTAACTTTTAGTTGAAATGCATCTTCCTCAATCTCCGTTTTATATCCACCTTCATCTGTTGCAAGAAACAGACATCATAAGGTGTGTTTTATATGCTAAAATGCTAAATTGAGGCTGCAATTGACTCATTTGAAGTTTGGTTTTCATCCCTTTTTTTTTTAAATTTTTTCTCTTTCTTTTTTGATTGGTTAATTGTTTTTGTATGTGAAAGGCATTTTAGTGATTCTCACTGTTGCTTGTGGAAGGATTTTATACTGTGCACATCTATGTTTCAATCTGCCCACTCACGTACATCTAAGTTTCAGTTGTTACTAGTTTGTAATCTTGACAATGTTTTGCAGGTTTGTTGCAGTAGAAAAATTGAAAGAAAAACTGTTAGAAAATAACAGACAGACATATTGGGTTCCGGATTACGTTAAGGTCCACATCTGATTCAATACCATTTTCAGTTATTTTCTTTTGCTTAAAAATTTCAGATATAGTTAGTTCATATGAATACTTAGGTGATGAGGACCTTTATCCATTTTTTCTGCTTGTATTTTGCTCCTCAGCTCTTGATCTTTATTCCTTTGTTTTGATAATTGGGGAAATTTTATTAGAAAAGGGAGAATAACATTTACAAGAGATCCCATGAAAAGACACGATCTGCGATCTCTCCAAACAATCAAAAACTAAAACAGATTACAACTGTTCCYTATTTGCCCCTTGCTTGGATAAACAATSAGCAATAGCATTCTCAAATCTCCCCACCTATTGTATTCTGACATACAAATTTCTTGTCAGCCACTTGAATTTTTTAAGTTCATTCTTAAAGCCCCAAACTACAGTCTCTGGGTTCTGTAGCCACCCCACAACTATCCTGGAGACACCTTCTATTACTAGCTGTTCCACTCCTAGCTGTACTGCAAACTGTACCCCTTGAAGGGCAGCTAATAGTTCCACCCTAGTGGAGTCCTCACTCCTCACCTAAAGGGCCTGAGTATAAAAAAGCCACAATACCACTTTCATTCCTTAGAACCCCTCCC